AAAAAAAAAAAAATGGAACTATCGTGCAAAGGGCCATGGACCGAGTAGAACTTTCAATGACATTTATATACATTTATACTTGAAAGATATTGTAATTTCTTGGTATCTGTCACGTGATGATATCAAAGATTTTGTTTAGACAGGGACCGAGAAAAATTGATACCAATGAAAAACACACGTTGTTAAGAGAAGTGGAAACATCTTGATGAAAATCAAATGTAAACAGCGTGTCCACTGAGACGAGGCGATTCAGAAGAGGAAAGTTCATAGGAAAATGTTTCATCATGAAGTGCAAAGAGGATTGCTAATGATTAAACCGAGGCTTTTTGGTAAGAGAAATAAATGAATCCTTCAACGTCAAAAAATTGACCGAGGCGTTTTTACAAGAAAAAATAAAGATATCTTCCAATGTCAAAAAAATTAACCAAGGCGTTTTTTGCAAGAAGATAAAGTACAGAGTCAGAAAGAAAGGGAGAGAATTGGAGGAAGAAAAGGCTTACCGTGGAGCGCCAGTCATCAAAGAACTGTGATTGGAGAACGGTCCCCCATAATAATAGGGCAGACCATCGCCGTAGTAGGGCATCGTGGCGAGTATTATCCGGCAAATTCACGTGTACAGAGAGCAGTTAAAGGGTCTTGGTATCCGGAGAAGAGAAAACACAAACGGAAGTGGGCGAGCAGCGGGCCACGAGCGGTTCGACGATCTCGAAGACGACTGAGCGCAGTGCGGATCGCCGGCTCGGATACGCGTTCTTCTCAGGTGTTCTCACGGTTCAGGGAGCCAACACCGACTGAGTCTAAGCCAGCGACCCAGTGTAATAATAGAAGTCTAGTATATGAGGCTTCCTAGCGTCTAACTATACTAGCTGGACTCTAATAACCCGTACAGAGAGTCTCAGGCATTGCTTTTCAACAAATATTTGTGGAATTGTAGCGTTTACGTGACTCATTGTCAGAGCCGTGTGAGCCTTATTGCTTTCCATTTTAACGCAGCAAGTTACACGCGTTACAATACAAGTTAACGTCTCTTCGTGTCAACAGCTGTCAGTAACATAGAAAGAAAATATGGCAAAAGTAAAAGAAAGCAGTTATTCTTTTTCTGCTCTGACTGAAAGTAATAACGGAATTCTGTTTTTCATTTCAGCAATTTTCAATCGATAAAAGAAATCATTCAACTGAGCAAAGAGAGAGAGAGAGAGAGAGCAGAGATTCCAGCAAAGCGGATACATTGGTTAAGGCCACTCCTTATTATATCATGCTGTTAAAGACGCAGCAACGATGAAAGTTGCGAGGAATACCGAGGAACGTGCTATCACACATCGTGAAACGCTCGGGACACATGCACGCCAAGTTTGCCAGGCGACGATTTCGCGTGTTGTCTCCGCAGCCGTGTAAAACGCGCATTAATGTGTCAACGGAGCCACGGTTTCGCGTTGTTTTGTGTTCCGAGCATCGAGACCCGCGCCAAATGACTCTTCCCTCCCCCGGGAAGTCTATTGTTGCTTGTTCAGAGAAACTTAGAAATAGCCAACGAATGGCAGCGTATTCTGTTTCGAATCAATCGTGCAAACTAAATTTAGACTCGCTAGGAAATGATAACAATTATATATTTTGCAAAATTTACGACACTTCAAATTGCCATTGACGAGCGAAAAACTTCAGTTCAAGGTGCATCAACGAAGTGAAATGGACATACGTACAAGAGACGAAAGTCATTTGGATTGAATTTTACTTACCATCACACCTGAGACCTTGTCGGAACAAACCATACAACATGGAACCACAATGGTCACAAAAGGTCGGTGACATGAACGTGTGAGGACGAAACCTGTGAGGTACATCTACCTTGAAACGCTCCCTCAAGTACTGCCACCGAACAAGTATTGACAGAATTAGAACGGTTTTTGCGTAGGATTAGGTGTTGCGTTACTTTCAACAAATAGCATAAACAGATACAGGATGGTAATCCACGAACAACACGTAACTTTTACAAAAATAGGCATCAAATGTTTTCATAAAGTTTCTATATTACAAAAAAGAAAAAAGTTATATAAAATATGTAATTAACTAATTGCTACAAAAAAGAAAAGAAAATAATATAATTAAATCTGTTTTTAGTGGGACAAATTTGAATTTGATAGATCACTAAACCGCCCAAGATGTCTGAGGATATTCAGAATTTGGTAAAGTTCTGCGTTGCATCACGTTGCAAACGTTTGCAACGTTTAGAAATAGACGTAAATTTTAACGTGCGAGGTAACGGTTAGAAACAGTCTTGTTTTCCAAATCCTCTGGTAAAACCTCTGGATGATCTATGCATCACTGAGCAAATAAGCAAACATAGTTTCCTCGCATAGTTTACGTCGAGCTTCTCCACCGAGAAGCACAACTGGTTCTCATGAAAAAGAAATGGTACAAAACAAGCACAGATGGTTCTCACGAATCATTGAAGAAAATTTGTGCCTTTTGTTCAGCGATGTTTCTTCCTTTTTCGGAACAAAAACAATTATCGACCAGAACGTATTTACTTACTACCGTGTTCTCTGATTCCCTGCCACTCTCCGGGCACTTGGTCAGCAATTTATCATGGCACTTCTTGTGCACCGCCGTTTGGCAGGCTGAAACGCAGGAATGGAATATTAATAGAGGTACAACGTGGCCGGCAACAGCGAGAGAAAAACCGCGGCCTGCGATTTAATATTTACCTTGGCACTGGTATCCCTGCTTCCCGAATCCCCTGCGACAAAGAGCACACCTCAGATTAATTAGGGAACACGCCGTACTCGAGGGAAATAGCCGGCCGATGCTTCGATTAACGCCAACTATTTTCGGTATGTGTCTGTCAAAGCTGCCGTAACTTTATGACGAATCGAGATTTATGATAATTCGATAGGAGAGTGGCCGTATTTTCTCGATGAAACATCACGGCCGTTTTATTTCCCTTGGAACATTTCAATTTGCAGTTTTCTACTTGCATTGCGTTACAACGTATCTCTCTTGCACACGTGTTTATCAACTTTACCAGAGGAAATCCTTGCAGAAGGCACAGAAAGTCGGTTGTCTGAAGAATTTCGCGACTAGCCTGTGACCTCGAACCACGTGCACCTTGTTGTGTTTCACTGCACCTCTTCTTTTTGTAATTGCTCCCCCGACGTTGTGCTTTTCAAGTGGAGGAGATACGACTGCTACCGCGATATCTCTTAGAGGAACCCTAGTTTTGTATACGTATGTTCTTCCCGTGGATGTTGTCGGTGGTAGATCCGTTGGATTCAGTATTGGAATCCTGGTTCTGGAATGGTATTATCTTTTTTATGTCTTTCAACTAATGTCCTTTCTCAATGAAACAGAAATCCAATTTATACAAACCAAACTAAATGTGACAATGATTTTAATTTAATTTAATTTAATAATTTAATTTTAATATAATAGTAATTTTGGATGCAATATTTTAATGCAAACCAAATTTGATATATAAACCAATTTGTTTCTTTTGAACAATATGTGTCTTTTGAACAACTATAATTCATTTTCACAGGATCAATTTCACACTTGTAATTTCTAATAATTAGTTTGAACATTTGAACAGGAAACCTTTAATATATAGTTAACTCCTCGACTATGCAGTGTTAGTAAATACTCTGGCACGCTTATAATATAATAGTAATTACTGTAGCTACTTGAGTTACATTCCAAACTTATGAATAATTCAGAAGTTGTTAGCTGCACTTCCAACTAATTTAACTCTCATATGTAAGTAATTCTTAAAATTCTCATATCTAAAAATTATATGTGTTTCAGACTATGGATTAATAAGGTATTTTAAATTAATATTCTCTTCATAAAAGCATCTATGTAACAAAACAAAATTCTAAAATATATCTAACTATCAACTCAAACCATGGATTAATAAGAAATTAGGTAAGTTAAAATATTTTCAATCAATATTCTTCTTACACTGTGAAACATAATAAATAATAATATTGTATCTAACATTTAGGTAAACAATGATACATCTTTTATTATAACGCAACAGAATTGTAAAATATAGTTAACTACTAATCCTTTGCACTCCAAACTATTTTTCAATGGCAATTTAAAAATATCAAGTGTGACTGAATATAAGAGTTCCTGTGATAAAAACTGATGTCGAAACACACTCGACAGAGTGTAAAGAGTTAATTAATCACAAATGATCTTTCCTTGGAAGAATTTAATTAACAACAAATGATAACACTGAACAGTCGCTGAACATTCGACAAGCTTTACCTACCGGATGTCTCACCTGTAAGTGTATCCATCCGCGGCCACGCGAGCAGCCTGTGGGCTCCTACGATCCGCGGAGGTCCTCCGGCTGGAACCACCGCCGGCGTTGCGCCTCTTTGCGTGGGCACCACCGGTGAACATCATTTTCCCTATTCACTGATTCACTCTCCTCTTCTTCTGTCGAATTGCTGCCTTGTCATCAGTGACAACTCGTTCAGGTTCGAGCAACACTCGTAACACGTAAAATGTTCGTAAGTCGGTATTCGAATTACCATGTGCCCGATCGTCGAATGCTATCTTTTCAGTTTCCTGCCTCGTGACGCTCGAATTCCGCAGCACTCGGCCGCATAATGCCAGAAGAATTCTCGTCCAACGGCCAGCAACATCTTCGTCTCTGTCCGCCGAAGATCGCTTCCGGTTGATCAAAATTTATTTATTTAACTGTATCTTCGAGAGGAAGCATCGTGCCGGTGAAATTGCAATGGACTGCCTTCTCCGAAGAAGAAAATAGGTCGCGCCAGAGTAACTGTGACCTCGCTGAATTAAACCAAGAAGAAACGCAGCAACAATTCTTCTAATTCTTGATGCCCATCTCTTCTGGGAATCAAATCGTCACACCGGATCAATTGTTTCTTTTTTACAGACAATCGTCGTCCGAATAAATTCTGACAGTTGATCGACTTTCCCAGACGCAATAGCACCTTCACAGCGCTGGTCACACTTACCACTCGTCTCAACGTTTTGTAACTTTTCTAACACTAAACGTTAGCGATAGTAAGAATTCCAGTTATGATTAAGAAGACAGAAGATTGTTGTAGAAACTTCTCAAGGGAAATAATTGAAGGGCTCTCGTCTGTCTCTTCTCGTCCTCGACGGAGACTGCACACTTTTTTTTTTTTGATTCGGATGACTAATGTGTGCCACGAAAGTGGAAGGATGCCTCTACCTTTCGAATTCTTGTCGGCTGATGCATCGTCAATTCCTCTCGGTCCCAGCGCGATGTATCGTTACAGTAGGAATGTGTCGCGATCGAAAGTAGCACTGACGATGGTCAAACGTCAAGTCAGGCAGATTTGACTGATTGCACACGAGTGCCGTGCTGCGGGACGTCTCTTCCGGTTTCACCGTACGTAAACGGCCAACTTGGACTCTGCGCGGAATGCACGCACGATCGGATTGAAAATCCTATGGATCATCGGATGGATGTTGACGAGCGTAGGAACTGGATTTTGACGCCTAAAACGCGTTGTGTAGCTTCGCTACGAAACTCTCGAATCTATAAATATCAGCCTGTTGAATGCCGCCCGCCATCGGATCGCGTCGGATAGCGCCGCGCGCGGGAAATATTAGAATAACGCCGAGATCAGGTGCGTTTTTCCAGTCTGGAAGAAACGATGAGAGATTCTCCAGACTAACTGGGAAAAATAGGTTTGCAGACGAGGGGAAGCACGCGCGGATTTGACTCTGATCGATTCTTGAACACTAAACGTACCAAGCGGGGTTAAATGACCCCTTTTCAAAATTTACTTTAAAATCGTATATTCGTTGTTATTTCTTTCGTTAATCTGACTTTTTGTAAATTCTTATATCATCTGATTATTCAATTACTCGTTTTTCTGTTTTCTCTTAGCTTATTTTTTACCGAGAAAAATTCTTTGCATACCTTATGTACCGCGAGGGGTCATTTGACCCCTTATGGTAAGATAGGTATATGTAAAATGCCGGTACGTTTAGTGTTAACGAACAATATAAAAAAAAAAAAAAAAGAAAAAAGAAATACCAACGCAGTGGTTTTATGCAAACGTCTGTATTTCTTTTCATATAATTTTAACGATGTGTACAATAAGTTCCGTTTCCTTAGGTATGAAGTACGGCGAAACAGTAGTGATTTTCCCATGATTTTTTTTTTTTTTTATTGTGAATAGCGTCTTTCTCTGTCTTAAGTAGTATATCTCTGCTGTTCTGTTATCGGTGCGCATTGCGTTTTACAACAGGGACTTTCGCGACTGACATTTTTCATTTTCTTTTTTTTTTCTCGTAGGACAAGAAAAGAGATCCCCCTCGTGGAGGGATCGTCGTGTTGATAAATACCGTTGAACAAAAAAATTAGAGAAGCCGCTTCGCACACAGCCTTTTCACATGATACACACACACGAAAATACGACGAGGAAATTGTCCGATCGTCTTCGGTGCTATGTACAGTAAAGAAGTAACAAGTAGTTATAGGTTCGGTCGTGGAATATTTTGTGCTCGCGATAGAACCTCACGTAGTAACCTATCCCGCATAGGTCAGCTGTGTTTCCTCGTCGATGAACATGTGCAGAGCTGTTACTTTCGCCTACGGCGAACTTACATCTTAAATAATAGAACTAACAGTAATCTTCTTAAAAGTTACAATATTTATATATTTATATTTATATTTATATGTATATATATATATATATCTATATTATATATAGCAGGTAAGAAATAGAGAATTCTAAATCGATACGAACATCTCTACGATAAAAATCCAAGTGATTCTTACGAAAAAGTCTGAAAACTAAAAAAAAAAAAAAAGAAATACCGCTCTTCTTTCAAGTCTATTGAGCGATTTCGTGACTGATTTTATGTATGTGTGTGTGTTTTGTGTTCGCATTATGCTATTATCAAAATTCTCTAGCTAGTGGTTTTCTTAGTTACTTTTAAAAAACGCTTGAAATCCACGTAAAAGAAGAATCAATTGGGAATGATTAAAAAATATATATCAGAAAGAATTCGTTTTCTCGCCTTTTCTTTTTCTTTTTTTTTTTTATCTTGCCTTCGCTGTCTGTCGGTTTGCGAATATAATATTATTATACCGCCATAGAGTTTGAGAATTTGAGAACTTGAGGGAAAAAGGCGCAAATCATAGCCATAGTTCTATTGTGTACAAATTATTCTAGAAACAAATAGGGCCTGATAGCTTCGACGTAGTTTCCCTAATCTTGTTCTCACGTGTTAGCAACTTCTGTGTCGCGCAAATTTAGATGGTAATTAGCGAACAGGTCGCAGGGACGACTGATTGGTTGTCAGTGATCGGTCGCTAGTTTCTTAGGCTGACGTTCCTGAGCGCGTTTCAGCCGCTGTTGCAACAAGTTGTGAAGCTGTTCCACTTCCTTCGGTGCTGCTTGAACAATGAAAATTCTGATACTTCCTTGAACGTCCATTGCAGTTAACCTCAAGGATTTCGGCGCTGCTCGTTCTGCCGTCATTCCTGGCCATACTTTCGTGTTCATAATTAATCTCTGGGTTCCTGCAGTACGTCCTACCAGCCGAGATTCTTCATCGCGGTCGTTTAGTCTTAAAGTACCTCTACCTCTTTCCTGCCAGCCACTACTAGCCTGAACAAAATCGAACATTCACAATTAGACTAACAATTCTTATACGAGCCATTAGACTAATGATAATTCTTATACAAACCTTATCGAACGCAAAGAACTTGCAGTTTATCTGAAGGATGTTCGTTTCACCTTCCTCGCCAGTTAGCGGTGTTATTTGACTATATTTTCTTTTATTAGCACGATTTGCTTCCTCTAATTCTTGAGCTGCTTCGGTTAATGTTAGTCCTGGTTTTGAGGTAGTACGACACGCCGCTGACGCATTGGAAAAGAGAAGCTCCGTCGAGCCATTTGCATTTGTGCTCTCATCTTTCTTCTCTTTTTTCTCCTCACCTTCCGTTTTCTCAGAGCTTTCCGCATCATTTGCGATCATAACACGTTCCTGTAGGTTTTGACCAAAGACAAAATTTGGTTCTGAAGTACAAGGCGTTACCGTAGTATTTACACTCTCCTTTGTGCTTGTGCCTAGCATTAGGAAGGTAGACTTTATTTCCTCTGCTGGCTTCTCCTCTTTTTTAGTTTCCTCACTCTTAATTTCCTTTACTTCACTCTTAGTTTCCTTTATCGCACTTTTATCATTCTTCTCTTCACTTTTATCCTCTTTCTCTTCGTTTTTCTCTTCCTTTGTTTCCGTTTTGTTGCTTTCTTCTTCTTTTTCTTTTTCCTTCTCCTTACTTTTTTCATTTACAAGTGTATCTGAGACCTTTGCAAATGGATTCTGAAACTTGGCTGGTTGTAAATATATTTTAGTGGTAGGCTGATTGTTTGTCACTGTACCCAACTGAGAGGGCCACAATGTGAAAGACTTTTTTTTCTTAACTAAGGTCTTGAAAGAGTCATTGCACCCAAATGATGTTCCAAACTTTGAAGCAGCTAACACTGGCTTGGTAGAACTCGACGGTGATTCCTGGCTATTGTTTTCCGTTGATGGGCTCTCCATTTCTTCTGGAACGATACAGACTTCATGAATCGCTATGAAGTACATATAAAATAAAGCTTGATGCTTTTATGTTGTAGCATGTGCAATTTGAAATGAGAGTTATTGGTTTCAATTAGAAATTAATCACAGTGTGATACCAAGCGTATGTAAAGCATTTCAACTGTATACCAATTTCAGAGAGAAAAGCCATGAAGTAGAAGCACTTGAAACAAAAAAATAATATAGCGTATTATTTACCACTGGTAGAATTTTCTGGTGAATCTCCCGACGACTCTTGCGGTGGATCTACTTTTAAAACATAGGATGGTCGATTTGTCTCTTCTTTGTTCTCTGCGTGAAAATCAAAAACAAACAATTAACATGATTGCCAAACAGAATTACTTTGTCAATTTGCTTTGGAAAGTAAATATTGCTGAAAAAAAAGGAGAAAGGAATACGGAAGAACGCGAAATACACAGAGAAGAGTATGAAAGAAAACGATGATTTCGTACGAATCTTGAACTATTGCAATTTACATAATTGTGCAGAATTTATCGTATACCGTACAAGAAAAGAATCACAAAACGCACCCTTGCAGTCCGCCATGTTTTACGAGGAAGTGATCGAGTGTCGCCATCTAGCCATATTATTAGGAAATAAAAAACATTTACTACATATAATCCATACGTGATGTGTGTGTGTACGCATGAATATTTTACATCGTAATATCATTACATTTCTCTTTGTTAGAAACGTAAAAATTTTATTGTTACAAAGATTTGTTTCATTATAAATAAATAAGACCAGATGAAGTAGTTACAAGAATTAAAAGTATAACTTAAAATGTTTATCGAAGAATTTATTGATCATTTACGTTTATTAACTAATCATAGTTTATCAAATATTCATTCATCTTATTCAAATTACTCTTTTTCTTTTTTTCTTTTAAATTTCGTAAAATATTTTTAATATTATGTACGCATATATACTTAAACCATTATCAACTACGAGAGGTCATCGAGGTCCTCGTTGATCTTTTTATTAAAAGCTAAGTTTAAAAACTAGTTTGTTTTTTTTTATAATTTTATAATTCGATTAAATTTAAATAATGATATTTGACATTTATTTCAGATTTTCTTGGCATCATTTCTCTTCTCACTGTGATGTCATCAATCGCCAGTTATGTTAAAACACGTTTTCCCGCCATAAGTATAAAATATAGAATATTATATAGAATGTGTTGTATAGAAAAGGTTATTATGTAAAAATTTAAATTAAAATATTGCTGACATCATGATAATAATTCTTTATTATTTAATCAAGGTCTTTACGGCAAAGGTTATTGGCGGCGTGGTGGTATCTCGTATCATACAAAATATCACGAGTAGTACAGGAGTGGGAGAATGTTAATCGATTGTATTTCCAGGCCATTTTATAGATTTGAACGAGTGCCATAATACGAGTGGAAAGTTCTCTAAAGTTCCAAATTTTTTCAATCGTTTCGTTACCAAAGCACAATGTCTCTTGACGAAGTAAATAGTTTTGTGTTTATCACGTTTTAAATTATATTATATCTAATTATATGTTTTATCATAATTAGTTTCTTCAATCCTTGTACTTTGAACTTTTACATAAAGTCATGAAACGATGAGAATTGAAACTGTTTATTTTATTTTTGTCTTTTAAGAGATTCAATAAAGCTGCAAATGAGGTGAAGGAATTGAGTGCTACACCTTCTGATACTGACCTGCTTGAATTATATTCATTGTACAAGCAAGCTACTGTTGGAGATTGTAACACAAGTACGTAGAATGTCATGGTTTATGATTATACTTTATGAATATAATTTAAATGGCATTATGTTCAAGATTACTTAATATATTTTGGTTGAAAATTCCATTGACAAGTTTGCATCGACAAGTTAGAAAGGATTTTGAAGGAAGTTAAACCTTTGAGTGTGTAATATGAATAAATCACTTGATGCACAAGTCACTTGGCATTTATTGAAAATATTGAAACCCGCTTTCTAACTTTACTTTGGTTTTGTGATCTTAATCTTCAATTCTAATTGCACAACAAATGCTAATAGACATGCTAAAAACTAAATTTAAAAAAAAATGAATGAAATGTTTCTGTATAATTTCAAACTCATTGAACTCGAATGACAATTTTGTGGCATCAGTAATATTATTCTTTTCAACGGAGATTCTAATTTTTTTTTAGCAAGGCCAGGCATGTTAGATTTCAAAGGTAAAGCTAAATGGGATGCTTGGGACAAAAAAAAGGGCATGAACCAAGACGATGCAAAAGAACAATACATTCAGAAGGTGGAAGAATTGATATCCATCATTGGGAAAAAATAACTTACAAAATGCGACAAATTTATGTACACACTTTTACCAAATTTTATACAATTATAAATATGCAATTTTATAATTTTTAATACCAGGGTGCAGTAGTTGCAAAAATGTTCGAATGTATCTTGAATTAATCTTTTTGATTATTTAAGTGATTTAACTGTCTATGCTGGGTATAGACAAGAATTGTTACAAGAAATCATGTTATTGAAAAGGAATTGATATATCGAATTGATAAATCAAACTTCTCGTGGTAGCTGAATTTATTTTACTATCACTGGTTAACTATTTACAACGTCGATATTGTTAACTTGCGAAGAGTCAACACATGCATTATTATATTCACTCACCGACATGTAACTGTTAACGTACTTATCTTTCGAATACATATACACGAGTTTTAATACGACATCGAAGCGTATAACGGTGAAAATATATATAAAAAAAAAAAATACTTTACCCTCCATTTTTGAAAACTTTTACATTGCTCGACTATCTTTGTATCAATTTCAATTTATAGGTGAACTTCATTATACGAATATTATAAATTTCAATGAAGCTGAGAAAGATCAAAATAAAGTAATTGCTTTGTTACAATGCGACATTTTATAATAATCATCCTATCTTGAGAAAAGTATTTGTTACAAATGTGAAAAGAGAGAACATCAGAGACGAGATACAGTGATACTGGATATCAAGAGTAATGAAATATACTAGGATATATTAATTATGTATTTGTTTTCTTCTCCACGTTAAGTTTTAACATTTTTTTTTTTCCTTATCATTATATACACATACGCAAGAAACTAACTAAGAGAAACAAATAGGATTACGACATTTAAGTTTGCTTATGAGGAAACATTTCCGCAACAGAAAAACTTAGCCCTGCATATGATTTCTTTCCTTGCGGATCGATCAGAAAGAAAAGAAAAAAAAGAAGAGGAACACATTTCTTCCATCGTGAATGTTTCACCGCGATTCGTAAACAAAAGAAAGAAAAGATACATTGTAGTAAAATTTGTCGTAATACAATTTTATCCTTTAAGAGCAATTGTTATGACTGCAAGTCGATCGTGATGCCTTAAACGAATATACGCGTGACGAAATTCATCTTCGTGTGTACGTGTTGTGTCCATTCGCATAAAAAATAAAACGTGTACACGTGCGTTTCAACAATTTAAATTCTATCAAATTCAGTCGAGGTATCTGTGTATGTGTGTTTGAGTTTGAGTCTGTGTTTGTGTATATGTGTAGATGTTCGAAATTCACGCGGCTTACAAATAAAAATCTAGCAATTATATAACTTACGACATAGTGTAAATTAATCTTCTAAGGAATCTAGGATAAGCGAAACTTACCAGATTAAACGTAACACGCCAAAATTTGAACGGAAATGACGCTATCTATAAAACGCAACAGAATGTTCTGTAATAACAACTTCTTTCTATTCCTTTGTAGAAAGAAGGGCCTTTTTCCTTTTTCTCTCTCGCGCTCTCTCTCTCTCTCACTCTCTCTCTCTCAATCGCAAACAAGAATCAATTAAACACACCACTTTCGATGCAAAATCTTTACAGTGAATTTTGCAGCGAATTTTTTTTTTTTTTTTTTTTATTGATCAAATCGAACATTTGTGGTCAGTCGGAGCTAAGCCACGAAGAGTTTTTCTTCTTTCTTTCTTTCTTTTTTTTTTTGTTTTTCAATCCCGATTATATGAACAATAGCAAAAGCAACGTTGCGGAAAATGATATATTGTACAACATCAGAGTTCCGTGAATGATACACGTATACGTATGTAATGTATGCTCACATATGTATGCGTTTAGTTCGAAAAGAAAATAAATGTGGAATAAAATAAAAGGACTAAAATGAAAAAAGATACGGACAAAAAGTAACGAATGAGAGAAGGTTGCAAGAGTGTTGCCTCTATTTTTTCTTACTCTTATCGTGCTTCTTAGTGAGAAGTGGATGATAGTGCGTCTTTATTCTACTAGCCTTCTGATGGTCACCATGGACTGTTCTCGAGTTCTGGCCAGCCATCGAGATATCGCTGGCACTGTCGGTCAGCTGGCGACTCGTCGATGACTCGTCAAACCTGGTAAAACAGAGAAGGTGACGGGAACAAAAGCTCAGATAGCATTTTACTGCGGATGTGTTTTGCTTAAAGTGTTAGTTTTTCCAAATCGAGCAAGTTTTCCTGCTCTTTTTTTAATCTGTTTTAAAACGGGCTCGATCGCTCGAGCTTAGAGATCCAATCACTGTCATCGAATTTCGTCGAGTAATCGCTGTTTTCTCGAAATCTCGTTGCTCTCGTTTGCTTTTTCTTTTTTTTTTTAAATCATAAATATATGCATCTATATATATATATATATATATGTATGTATGTATGTACATGTATTTTGTCGTTTTCATTGTACAATGTGTGGAGAAGTGCGTCGACTAACGGTGCACTACATCATTTGAACAGTATTTTTTCAAATAGAATATTCCAACGGAAAAACGAAGCAGTCAGTTGCTGAAGAGACGATCTAAATAAGAGAGAAAAACATTTTACATTGTTAAATTAACCGCGGTGACGATTACGCTATTTTCTTTCTTTTCTTTTCTTTTCTTTTTCTTTTTATGTTCGTTTCATTTCAGGTAGATAGGTAGCAGGAACACAACATCTCGGTAGAGCGCAGAAATATTATTCGTGACACGACGACAGGAATTTCTCAATTGCCGAGCGGAGATCGAGCGAGCGTTCTTGATAGAGAACTGATTTAACTGTACGTTATTGATTGTGGCACGCCGTTCACGGTCTTCGACTTCAGCACATCGTTCTCGTATGACAATATTGTTTCCTTTCCGTTCTCGAAAACCCTACAACAGAGATAGAAATTGTTGCTGCACATCTTATTACAATTCTGAATTGCTTCTGTGGTACGATGCAACTCTTAAGGTAAAACCGTTGAATTCTTTCTTTTTATTTGCAGCAAGCTGTCGCTCTTACTTTTTGGTGGTGATCTTTTTGCCATTGATGAATCGAGTTGAAGTACTTGTCCGCTTCATAGCACCGCCGCCGCTGGTTCCACCGAAGCTCGCATACGTATTGAACGAGGTGAAGTTCCTTGACGAACCTTCGAACAAGTTGTTGAATGGTGAGAAACCATGGTGAGAAACTCCTATTGGGCCAAAGAATGACGTGCTAATGCTGTTACTGCTTGGATGGCTATGCCTGTTGGATCCGAAGCGTACACCAACTTCTTTGGGGAGAGGAAAATTAAACACCAGTTAATCACATGGTTCTCACTGCAGGTGGTCTTTGAACATATATTAATCCACATTAATTACTAGAATACATTTCTATCATTCAACGGGCAGGATAGATGCACACTTTATACGCGTGCTCAAACGTATCTGAGGGTATACATGTAACATATATTACACAAATTCACTGATCGCGAGCTAGAATGGGGTTTACTTACCGGAGAATGAGTCCTCGAAAGAAGTACCACCAAAGAATTCCTTAAATACTTCCTCAGGATTTCTGAACATGAAGGTGCCGGCAAAGTGTGGGTCAAAATCGTCCTTGTGCCGCCTCTTACCACCGGGCATTTGAAGTCCCTCTTTCCCATATTGATCGTAGACCCTCCTTTTCTTCTCTGAAAAAAGATAAAAAAAAAAAAAAACGGTTATTGCCAATTGCAAGAAGACGAAGCTTGAAGGCGGAATTGCTTGGTTTTATTCGCTCCAAATTCCAAGAAGCAGGTACTGCAAGGCCTGTTAGGTTAGTAGAATACGTCGAATGATTTCTGACATCAATTTGAGGTCGTCCACCACAGGAGCAAAGTCATTAGAGAGAGAGAGAGAGAGGGAGGGAGTCTCATCTCAGGATGAACATGAGGGATATGGACAAACTTCGCAGAATTTGTAACAGCTTTTTAAAGGGTTAGACAGTTTTAATGCCAAGGACTTCAATTAAAAAAATGCAACCGGACATGGATTCCTCGAAGATCTGCCTTTCTTGAGAGGAAATTATTGGTAGCAAGTTGGTCGTTCAGTCAGTCGAGCAATGGCAAAATTGTTAGAGATGCGGTGAAGAGATTACAGGCAATATTATCTGCGTTTACGGCGACTCATACAAAGAGAAAAAAGTATCTTTCGAGCTTTCCACAAGGACTCGCAGAGGAACCGATCAGAAAATCTCTGCTAGAGATTTCTGAATCCTACGAGTTCGAGCAAGAAATGACTTTTTCTTTTTTCTTAAGGCAAAATGAAGGGATTAGGCATCTGACACTTGATGAGTTTTTCATCAACTTTTGCTACATCTCAAAACAATAAATACTTCCATCTTTTTTTTTGTGTGTGTGTGTGTTTCATTAAAAAATTAGAAAGGAAAGAGAGAGAGAGAGAGAGAGAAAGACAAAGTCAAAAAGTAAACAATGAAAAAATAAATAAAAGTAAAAGAAAACGGAAAAAAATGTTTGGCCACTCTCAAAGTCTTTTTTCTCTTAAGCGGTACCGAAATATCGCTGGAAAGGAGAGTCAAAGAAACTCCGGTAGGTGAATCCACGGCCGGGCCTCGAGGACGCCTTCTGATACAATCGTTGGTCGTAGGTTCGTCTCTTCGCATCTGGACATCGAGCACGGTCACGAGAGATCGACCGGAAACAAACATTTCTGATTGAATATCTCTTTTATAATCCCTGCCGCGGCACCGGTTTGTCGACTCGGCACGACACGGTTCGTCGGTTGTCGCAGCGATGCTTCGGCTTAAAGAGTTTAGCAGCACCCGCTTGCACTCGACTCTCGAGTTTCCAATAGAACTCTTCGATTTCGATTTCGTTCTTTTCGCTGAATACTAAAAAAAACAGAGAGTCAGCCTCGAAAACTTAAAGAGGAAGAAAAAGAGAGAGAGAGAGAGAGAGAGACGATAACCAGATCTGAATCAATCTGAAAACTCAAAGAGAACAGACATGCGTGTACATATAGAAACTCAAGGATCAGAGTTTTGCAGCTGCGAGCTAACTTAATCGTTTCCTCGAGCGATATTATCGCAGAACAAATCACCAAAAAAAAACAGATTGTTCTGTCGAATCGTCGAGCTTTCGATTATCATTGTGCATGGCGATTAATTCTCGCAGCTCCTCCTGGTAGCATCAAGTGCCGGTTGTGAAACAGCCATTCATAAGGGAGAATCGATTCGTTCTAGATCGAACTGCCTGGCTCCCAGAATAAGTTGTACTACTTGGAGACCGCTCGAAAGAGAGAAGGCTCATGCGAAATTTGGGCTTTGCCGACAAGCAAAGGAGTTGCTCATTGCCCGGAGTTGCTCCCGCGTTTTCGTTACTGAAGCTAGGCTAGGTGTCGATTAATCGAAGCCGCAGATAGACAGAAATCATGATTAGAGCTACTATTCTTTTATCCCTTCTCGTTTTCTTATCTGGAGGAAGTTCTTCGGGTTCACAGACGATCGATTCTTCTCGATATTCTTTCTCGTGTAATCGTTTGGGCTGTGAATTTAGTTCGAACTAAAGCTAGCGGGGCTAAAATGAGGGAAGAGCCGAAGAAACTTACCATCGATTAATACCTCGTACGCCTCGGATATCTCTTTGAATCTTTTGTTCGCCTCCTCCAGGTTGTCAGGGTTCTTGTCCGGGTGCCATCTCAATGCCAATTTTCTATAACTGCAAGGCAAACACGCTTTGTTTAATCAACCGAGCAACTCGAGATGTTCTCTTCAACTCTGTGGTGAGAAACCGAGAGAAACGCGAGTCCGACTTTCTTGGATCAGAGCCAGCGTGTACCCAACGTGGCCGAAGTAAAAAGCCGTTCATTCAATCTTTTCCCTCGCTGGCCGCAAATGTAAAATGGCACCAACGACAAAAACGAGCCGTACTGTTCGCAGCCTGTAATTCATTTCGCCACGTGCCTTTGTGACATTGAACTTGGAACTGTTGCTCTGATCCTTTACTCGATCCTGAACCTCGTTACTTACGCCTTTTTGATATCCCCGCTGGTGGCGTTCCATTGCACTTCCAGTATCTTGTAATAGTCGGCCATCGTTCACAGTGCTTGCACTCGGGTGTTAGGTCTTAGGCAACCACCTGTCGAACAATGCAGAGAAA